ACATAAACCACCAAAACCAAGCATATAGAAATGGCAGAACACTATTTTGAAATATCTATATTCCTGTGGATTTTGCTTCTCTTACGGCTTCAGGTTGCATGACCTCCTCTGACTCCCATTCCCTGCCAGCCAGTCAGCCAGCATCTTCAGCTGTCAACAGACACACTAAGGAGCTTGTCAGATAAGGGCAACATGTTGAATTGGAACAGTGTTTGATGGATTAAGACCCTGGCTGTTTCACCTGTGCAATTTCTGACTTGTATTACGAATGACATTTTCAAAGCCTTTGGGCAACATTGCCAAGCGTGCCCCTGGAGACTATATTACAATGTCAGAATAATGTCAATTCTAGTTAAATAATTTTTATAGAAAAATAATTAAAGTAACATCAAGCTTTTGACAGCACTTCCACAAAAACTCATAAATCCTCAGATAAGGCTCCCATAGCACTACAAGTTGACCTCCTTTTTTTTTTTAATGTAATTAAAGAACAGTATTTTATTTTCACTCCTCTTTTTCTTTTTTTTTCTTTTTTACATGCTGTAGCAGCTCTTTATTTACAGCCTTACAGTGTTCTCATGGGTACTATTAATTCTACATCTAAAATAGTGTTTGTCAGAAATTTTTTTGTACTATGCATTGGAACTGCATATGTATGTTTTAAAAGCTCTGTCCCACCAAGAATAGTTTTGATGGCTTTAGATTACATCAAAAAGATTGCCTTCTTTTTTAGCTGCCCAAACAATGTATTTACAGTTTTATTGACTGAAAATTCAAATTAGAAAAAAAAATCCAACCCAATATACTAGCCTGTTTTCTTGTGAAAACAGCCTTGATACATTAATCAATAACATAGCCAGCTTCATGCAAACAAACATCTGGAACCTTGCTGATGGTTCATTCTGAAGACTTTACAATGATCACACTCCTTTCTTCTCTCCTTTTAAACATACATAGAATGAGTCTGTTTCATCCCTACTCTCTATGAAGGAAGCACTGTAGATTATTTCGGTGAGAGGAGGAATGAGCAATGCACAGATCATTCTCAAATATGAAAAATAGTCAGAAAATTAAAATGATCCTGCCTCAGAGTTCTTCAGGAAGGAGAGAGCTCTCGGGTATGCCCAATCCTGCATGTCTAGCTATCTCACATTACAGATACTGGATCTCTCTGCAACACGTCAGAGATTCAGGCAGCTGAGAAGGGACATTTGAATGAAAGTGGATAAGTTTTGAAAACTGCCTGACAGGCAGCAGGCCAAAGGAACTCATTCAAAATTGTAATGCTGCTGTGGAATTTTCCAGTTTTGACATATTGGTACATGCTGAGGAGGGATCTTTTCATCTGACTTTTCTGATCATCTCCATTACTCAACCTGTGTTGATCTAGACTTCAGCCACTGCAAATTCTCTGCCAAACAGCCTGCTTCAGCTGAGCCAGCTCTTCTACCGAGGAACAAGTCAGCAGGACTTCAGATCATCATAAAGGGTATCCCCACAGCAGGAGAGCTGGCATAAAGGAATAGACAGAGGCACTGATATCAACTCTAGCTGAGCTCTGAACCACTTTTCTAATTTTTGACAAGTAAATGATGTTGACATTTTCCAGTGTGGATACTTAGTGTTGGACAGCTGTAGCTAGATTTGGTAAATACCTGTACTTTACATTACTTACACTTAATTTAATCCTTCTGCCTCAGCTTTCCAAGTATGGAAAATTAAAGATAATACAATTATTATCTTCAGAGAGGAGTTATTATAATTAATGTTTTTAAAATCCTAAATGTAATTAAAGTACCCAGTAAATCTTCCAGCTAAGGATAGATAAGGATGTATAAATCTTCTGCAGTTTGGTATATTTATTGCCTTTCCTTACTTTCTGATTTACTTTTTTTTGTCAGTAATGATATCATGTCAGTTCAAATAAGGAAAGGGAATCAGAAGAAACCAGTGCTTGAGAAGCATGTGAAATATGATCTTAATAGTTACTGCTTTTATTACTTCCAAAGGATATGCTTTTCTTCCGCTCTTTATATTAACTTTATTGACTATTTTTTGGTCAGTTTATCTTTGGCTTCTGTAGTCTGAGAAGCTGACCTGATCTAAGTCAGGTAAGGTTTCTCTTTTAACATTTCCTTCTTTTGTACACTTTCCTCTTTTCTTTTTTTCCTGCCTTCCATTATTGTGTTTTCTTATTTTTCCTTTTCCCTCAATCTTCTCATATGTAGTAACTTTTCAGCTTCTCTTGCCCCTTTCTTGCTCTGTTTCAAGACCCTCTACCTACTCCATTTTCTTCCATGGTGTGAGGAGAAGCGTCCTGGTGGGGTGCATGCTGTCAGGGTTAGCCCTCACCTCAGGAGAGAGAAACTGAGTTGAAACTCACTGCTGTCACCATTGCCTGCATTTATGGTGATTAAGACAGTTTTGGCAAAAAAGAGAAGTAGAGGTACACAGTTGATATTCATCCATTCCCATTCTTGAGGCTATCAGGGATGAATTTGCGCCAGGAGTTTTTACACACATTTAAGTCCTTATCTTAATTATGATAACCTGAAATGAAGATATTGCAGCTGAGAGTCTATAGATAGCAAGCTCCTGCTTCTCCCATTCATCTCCTCTCCGCTCCTCAAGTCTTGATTTTTCATTTTAAGGATCTGAAGTGATTTGAAGTGAGTAACACACTCCAACAGGGGCAAACTGTTGTAATGGCATTAAATGATAAGTTGTAGTCAATATGTTTGTTCTCCTCTCTGTCTTCGCTGCTCATTTCTGGTGGAAGGATAGATCCAGAAGTGTGTAGAAATAATATTATAGAATTGGGGGGGGGTTTTTTGAATTTAAAACTTGGAATGCAAGGCAAGCTTGAAGATGTCATGTCCTGTAGTTTATTATATGCAAATTTTAAAATCATTCCCATATGTCAAATAATAAATCAGATACAAACAAAGGATAGCAGTAGAATAAGGTTACAAGAGGACCATGCTTCCAATTATTTGGGGGGTCGGGGGTGTGCAGTAACTTTGTTGCCTATGGTAGGGTTCCTTCAAATTATACCAATATAATTGGAATTAGCCTTGGTGCTCTGCTGTTGGGATACTTGATTGTCAGCTGTATTTTTCTAACACCAGTTTTTTTCATGGAATTGTAATTATGATTTTGTATTGTCATCACTGTACAGTCCAAATTTCACAGTTGGTCCCTGCAGCACCATTTTACCTCCTGAAGAGTAGCTCTCTTGTCACTCTTCCGTTTCATTCCTGCCTGTGCCAGGTAACCATTTGGAGATAATAATCTTTTTTTCTGGAGAGTCTCCCACTGACAACATGAAGTCACTAGTCCTCTGAACTGTACCTGTGGTTTTTGTTTCTTCAGCCAGACCCATACTTTATCCTTATGGAATATCAAGAACAGTGCATACTCAGCACCTTCTGTTGTCCACTGACATAAAATTTGTTTGTAAGATGTTTGGAGTAGAAATCAACTCAGCTTGTGTAAGGATGCTTCATAAAGTATTACTGAAGTCTCTATCACACAAATAAACATATCTCAGGACATGCGGAGAATTATGCTTTTGAACTTTCAGAGTGACACATAGTAAGAGTCAGCCTTTATTTATTTCCTTAAAAAGCAGAGATGATATTGGAAAAAAGATTATTTTTTGTAGGAACGTCTTTACAAAGTCCTGAATTCTAGTGTTTGGTTGAAGAAGGAAGTTTCCTTATAGATGACAATGGAGGAATGTTCCTTGCTCATGCTCCAGAAGTTTTCTGAAAGCACTATATCTTTGCTTCTCCCTTTGAAAATGCACTGCTCCCCGTGCAGCTGCTTATGGAACAGTCTTGGCCTTTTCCCTGGTGGCTGGTAGAGCATCTGCTGTCATGGGTGAGCACCACTGGTTTCTCCCAGTAAAGGGCAGGGATTATACCGTTGGCCTCAATGTAATTTTAAAAGTAAAATTTGTCTATACCATATATTTGTCAAAAGGTAGCTTTTAGGAAAACAGAAAATCTTAACTATTCATATTAAATGATGATTAAATGTGGAAATCATAATCTAACAGCAGGATCACTTGTATAACAGTTGTATTATTTTTAGGAACAGGAAATGCTGTGATGAGTCAAATTGCACTTTGTTGTATTCAAATTTTTTTTCCAGTCAGTAGCTGGCTTTAAGGCAGAGAATTCCTTGTGTTGACTGTCTTGAATGCAGACAGTAGTTGGCAACTGCTGTAACAAATTTTCTGCGTGTGCTAACCCTCTTAGTGAATATCATTCTATTTTGAGCCTAATTGAAGACTCAAGATAGAAAACTCAGCAATTATTTTTCCCTGCCGTACAGTATCTAATATTCTGATTTCATGGCTGTCTGACTACAATGATTAGGAAGAACATTTTCTTATAGTATTTATAGTACCATAACAGTGTTTCAGGAGCTGAAAATATTCCTTCAGGGAAGGAACTATTATGTCAGAATATGTGCCACTTAAAAACACACCCAATGAAAAAGTAGTATGCTGCTATGTGTTATATTTGGTGTTGTCAATAATTGCTTTGTAAGCTTTTTCTTGTCTTTGGCTTTGAAAAAGCTATTAAGGATGAAGAAAGCAGCCTTCAGCTAGAAAAGCTTTAATAGGAGTGATCTGCAACAACAGAGATAACACCTCTACGACAAAGGCATTTTGTGTTTAGAACTGTACTTCCATGTTAAGTCCAAGATGGTGTGGTTATTTTTGCTGGTAGAGAAATGGGAAATATGTGTGTAGTTGCTGATCATTGTATAGTTTTTTACCTGCAACAAACTACTACCTAGGACAAACTCTTGTCTGATAACCTCTGTGTTAAGTGGGACAGAGACCCCCAGTTTTTACACCAGAATGTTGATTAGGAGTAGTAAACAAGAACAGAAACCTCTTCAAAATGTCCCATAATCTTGCATAGAAAGTTAGAAGAAATACTATCAATTTAAAATGTTTGCTTGTTTTTTTTTTCTTTTTATATCAGATAGTATTACTGAAGTCTTCACTAACATCTATGTGACCAGTTTTGGACCTGTTTCAGATACTGATATGGTGAGTTGCTGAATCTTTTGCATATATGGGTAAATGGTGTAAGATATATACTGCTAAATGCCTTTAAGCTTGTATTCTGCTTTGACTTACTGTGAAAAAATTTGGAACTATTTAATTGAGATCAGAAAGCACCAAATCCCATTTAGTTCTGAAGCTGGCAATTGGTTTATAGATGTTACATGACAAGTATGCTTGTGTTAGCAGTTTAATTTGGACCAGTGAATCTTGTGACTGCCCCCACTGACTGTACTTTGGTTTCTGTTCTGAAGCAGTCTTGAGATGAGTGAACTGAATTCCTCTTGGGTGAAAAATTGGAGTGAAAGGTGCACTGTAGGAGCACCCCTAATATTGGCAACAGACTGAGGGACCTGATGGAAGTCTAAACTAAACTTCTTGAAAGACGTAGCTTAGAAGTTGGGTTATCTACATGATTGTGGTATTCTACAGGTCTATCCATGTTTAGTAACCATTTAAGGAAGTCAGTGACATTAAAAAAAAAAAAAAGAGAAACTGTCAGAATATTACTCGATTACAGTTTTTCATGAAAACATTAACGGTAAAAACCTCTGAGGCAAAGAATTCTTTGTAGGCTTATGGCAAATCATACAGAGATTAGGGAGAACATTTCACACTGAGAAGAAGGATCTGTTTTCTCTAAAAGGGAAGGGAAGGACAAACTGAAACTTACTTTAACTGCCTATTATGCCCCGGTCTGCTCAGCAGGTTTAGGAGAAGGTTGTTTGATTCACTCTAGGCAGTGTGTGGGAGAAATAACAAAATTCTCAGAAGGTTCAGTAACAAAGTTTTACTTGCAAACTTAAGAACATTAAGGTAGAATAACACAAATACTTGAATACTTGGCAAATTCTAAAACAACATCCAGATAAAGTAAGGCACTTGACAAACTTTATCTTAGCAAACTTAAACTTAGCAAACTTTAACTTATCCAGATGCAACAAGGCACTTACTAAGGCATTGACTGGAATATTTTAGTCTGGCTTAGAATATATTTTGAGAAGAAATTAGGAGAAGAAAGAGAGAAAGATAGGAGAAGAAAGAGAGAAAGAAAGAGAAATAAAGGATAAGCGTAGAAAGATATTACCACCCATGGATCCAGTGACGAGACTTTATAGTTGCAATTTTGATGTCTGGTGGTTGAAGTGATGGTTGCAATCTTGATCCATCGGGGGCAGAGGAAGACCCGGAAACACAAAGTCCAGTGAGTTAATATACGCTCAGGTTTAGGTGGAGTGCTCGGGTACCTCCCCCAGGGTGGGGAGTTTTACGCTGTCTATTGCAACATTGTGGATCTTTTGCAACAATGTGGGTCATGCACAGTCCTCTGGTGGAAGGCCACAGAAATGAGTCTGGGGGCACTTTGGTTATTTATGACACCTTTTAAGACATCACAGTTGCCTCTCACATCAGTGTAGTTGAGTCAATCATGCCCCATCAGAAGGGGTGAATACCTTCAGGCCTACATGTGAATGTCCCAATAACTCACCTGGGGGATATTTTTACAAGTGAGCCAGTTATACCCCATCAGAAGGGATGAATAATGTGAACATCCAGATACCTTCCCAGGGGATGGGCAGTCGTACAACTGAGACAGTTGTGTAAGGGAGGAAATTGGCATGATAAAAAGCTGTCCCACTTCTCAGGATGAGCTTCTTATCAGCCTCTTCCCTTACCTGACTCAAAACCCAGCTTCCTGCTAAACAAAACTTTATTTGTTATGGGCATCTTCAGGTGCTTACACCCTCTGCACCTGGGCTGTTACCTTGCTCATCATCAGCAAAGCACCCATTGCTTTTGCAAGTGGCTGATTAAGCCTTTACCATTAACATTTCAGTCTCTCACACTATCCTTCCCATTCCTGCAAGAAATTATTTTTGAAGTGTTTTGAACATTCATTATTATATATGACATATAAAATACTACCTAGGTGTATCTGTAGGAATTAAAAATGAATATTTTTTTTTAAATCAGGCAATATTTCTTTTTCTATGGAAAATTTTCAGATTATGCATCATACAAAATAGGGAACATCTTGATGTTTTGAACTAGTTTGCAGTGAAACTAAATTATTTATAGTACACTGTACATTTAAAAAGTTACTTGCTCACTGACTAAACAGAAACTCCGTGACATCCAGAACAAGTGGTGGATCAATCTAGCTGAAAAAACTCAATTTTACGCAGATACGGGTGATCACAAAGGTTTCTATGAGGCCTTGAAAACAGCATATGGGCCTACATACCAGGTACCAAGCCCTCTACTCAGCGCTGATGGCCAAACGCTTCTAACAGATAAAACCTCCATTCTGAATCGTTGGTCTGAACACTTTCAGACTCTTTTCAGTACCAACCGTGTGGTCCAAGACTCAGCAATTCAGTCCATCACACGACAACCAGTAAAGTATGAATTGAATACTGCCCCCACTTTAGGAGAAACCCTCAAGGCCGTACAGCAGGTAAAAATTGGCAAGGCAGCAGGGGTTGATGGAATTCCACCCGAAGTCTGGAAACATGGGGGCCTTGCACTACACACCAAATTTCATGAGTTTGTGGTGCGCTGTTGGGAACTCGGTGAACTACCATCAGACCTTCGTGATGCAGTCATCATCACTTTGTATAAGAAGAAAGGTATTAAATCTGACTGCTCAAACTACCGTGGTATTACTCTGCTCTCCATTGCTGGCAAAATCCTGACAAGAATACTCTTGAACAGACTAATACCCACTATAGCAGAAGGGATCCTACCTGAAAGTCAGTGTGGTTTTAGAGCCAACAGAAGCACCACAGACATGGTATTTGTTCTCAGACAACTGCAAGAGAAGTGTAGGGAACAGAACAAAGGTCTTTATGTAACCTTTGTTGACCTCACCAAGGCTTTTGATACTGTGAGCAGAAAAGGTCTGTGGCAGATTTTGGAACGTTTAGGTTGTCCCCCCAAGTTCCTTAAAATGATCATCTCACTTCATGAGGATCAGCACGGCCAAGTCAGATATGGCAACACACTTTCTGAGCCCTTTTTAATTAAGAATGGTGTGAAACAAGGCTGCGTTCTCGCTCCTACCTTATTCACAGTCTTCTTTAGCATGATGCTCCAAAGGGCCACAGCAGACCTGGATGATCAGGACGGAATCTACATTCGATACCGTACTGATGGAAGCCTATTCAACCTAAGGCGACTGAAGGCCCACACCAAGACCTTAAACCATCTTGTCCAAGAGCTGCTTTATACTGATGGTGCCGCCCTTGTTGCCCACACAGAAGCAGCTCTGCAGCATTTAATATCCTGCTTTGCAGATGCTGCTGAGCTCTTTGGGCTGGAAGTCAGCTTAAAGAAGACAGAGGTTCTCCATCAACCTGCACCTCAGGAAGTCCCCCATCATCCCCACATCACCATTGGCCAATCAGAGCTCAAATCAGTCCAGCAGTTTAATTACCTAGGCAGCCTCATCTCCTCAAATGGTAAGATTGACAGGGAGATAGACAACAGGTTAGCAAAGGCATACAGTGCTTTCGGAAGACTCCCCAAAAGAGTATGGCGTAATAAACACTTGAAGAAAGGTACCAAGATCAGTGTTTACAGAGCCATTGTGCTGTCTACTCTCTTGTATGGTTCCAAATCATGGGTCATCTACCGCCACCACCTGCGTCTCCTAGAACGCTTCCATCAACGCTACCTCCGTACAATCCTAAACACCCACTGGTCAGATTATGTGACCAATACATCTGTTCTTGAGCAAGCAGCAGTCACAAGTATTGAGGCCATGCTGATGAGAACACAGCTGCGATGGGCAGGGCACGTCTCCAGGATGAAGGACCACCGCCTCTCTAAGATCTTGCTTTATGGTGAACTTGCCACTGGCTGCCACAAGAGAGGAGCCCCGAAGAAAAGATTCAAGGACTCCCTGAAACAACATCTCAGCCTTGGCCATATTGATCAACACAACTGGTCTACTCTGGCCTCCAATCGGGAGGCCTGGAGACACACCATCTATAACACTGCGGATGCCTTTGAGAGCACACGCAGGATCACTCTCAAGGAGAAAAGGCAATGCAGGAAGAACCGTGTCTTGTGGAATACACCATCTAAGGAGTCTTTCTGCTGTGCCTTTTGCAATCGGATATGTCTGTCACGTATTGGCCTCATAAGTCACCAACGAGCCTGTAACAAATGTGGATAAAGCCTTCCCAAATCTTCGTTTGCGAAGCCCAGCCATGATGATGCTCACTGACTAAAAGGTAGTCATAGCTCTAGAGTATATACTTTGTGGGATTTTGTTTTTGGTTTTTTGTATGATAGTTTCAGTTTTCAACCTCTGTTTTGATAGTGATGAATACATTACTGAAGCTTCACAATAAAGACCTTTTAATAGGAGAAATAGACATTTATTTTCTTTTTGTTACTGTACAAGTTGCTGATTCTCTCGTGGTGTTTTTCCCTAATGATTTTAAGTTTCTGAAATTGCTCTTATTTTATTACTAATTAAAAAAAACCCAACCAAACAAAACAAAACAACCAGGTATCCACAGCTATATACAAAGATGATATGAACATCTTGACCTCATTGGTTTGATATCTCAGGCCTTCACAGTGTTTACACTTACAGTAGTCCTGTATAATGGGGAGATGATATTAACCCACTTTTAAAGATTTGGTACTGAGGCACAAGGAGTCTTACCCAAGGCTGTGCAAGTCATTTGTACTCAAATGGAAATTTAATGAAAACCTTCCTGAGCTTATTCCCTAACTCTCCAAACATTTTCGACATCAGTGAGTAAATGTGTGGAGAACTCTGGGTGTCCATTTGCATAGACATATATAACAGTGCAATAATGGACCAGGTTGTTTGATGCTACAGATCTATTCAGAGATGTTAATCAAAGCAGAGTGCAGTGCATCAGAACAGCAGCTGTTACTGTAATGGGTAGGTTTATTTGCAGATATAAGTAAGAGCAGTTTAATTCTTATTACTACAAGCTTCAGGG